AAATGATGTGGATCCTCAGCGCCCCCCCCATCCCCCGCCCTCGCCCCACCTACTGAATCAGGAATTCCAGGGACGGTCTCCAGCCATCCAAGTTTAAACAAGCCCCCCAGGGGATTCTGACCACAGTCATATTTGGGAACTGCTGGTCAAGTGGCCCACAGCTTGTAAAAGTTTACAAAGTGCAACTGTCCCTTTCAAGTGCAAAGGGTCGGCAGAGTCGGAGAAACAAAGGGCAGACAGTGGAGGTGCCTTTCCATGCTCCTTGCCAATGGCAGGTGTGACTCAACTGCCTTCCCAGGGCTGCTGGGAGGGGCAGCACAGCCCCCGCCCCAAGGGTAGTGCACAGCCAAGCTGCCCCCATGAGCATTGAGTTCCAGATGGAGATTTGGGGGAAGGGGCAGCGTCCTTGAAAGTTTCGTGATAAAATAAGACAAAACAAACACACCCAAAGCAAACAAATCGACACCCAAAACAGCCACCTTGCCTTTGCCGGAGAAGAGTGGCTCAGCAAAAGCAAGACCAGCCGCCCCGGTTAGCCCAGGACTGAGGGGTTTCACGGGATACAGGATTTTCAGGGCTACATTCAGCACAGTCCTGGGCCAAACACGACACGGTGGTCACCGTGAGCAGCAGGGTGCTGTCTGGAGGAAGAGGGAGGCCTGCCTGCCTGGCCACGTGGAGAACATCCAACAATCCCAATATGCATTCTGGCAGTAGCTCTCCTGGGAGACCGTACAGGTCTGCATGAAGACGCGTAGAGGTTTCTCTCTTTCCTCTTTCTCCCTCCATCCCAGACCCACACCCCTGCAGACGAACATTCTTTCAGCGGGGAGTCTTCTGCCTGACCCTCAGGCTTCTACCTCCAGGCTTCAGCCACTCCCCCTCCTCCTCGGGCTGGCTGGCCTCCCTCTGCTCCAGCTAGTCCAGCCTCCGCTGGAGAATTCTTTCATGGCTTCCCAGATCCTCCCTTCCAGCCCGTGCTGGTGAGGGCCCTGCGCACCTCAGTGTGCCCAGCGCAGCCGCTTGGCAAAGGCTGGCCGGTGAAGGAGAGGCCCGTGAGCACAAGGGATGAAAGGTGCATCCGATGGGCAAAATGCAGACATGTGCCTACAATGTCTCTCCAGAGAAAGAGCAGGAAAGGACACTCCGGCCAATACATCCTGCAAACAGAGCTGCATGAGGGCAGGAACCGTCCCTCCCTTACTCTCTGTGGGCTCCCTAGCCGCTGGCACAGTGCCCAGCACCTGCTGGGGTCCATGCATGCCTAGTGCACAAGATGCCAACAGCGGCTTCATAGCTCTGAAGCCCCGCGCCTGCTGGGAGAGGCGAATTCCTTGGGGATTACAGAACAGGCTCTATACCTGCCTGACATTTATTGGGCACTACTTGTATGCAAGGTCTAGGCTGGGCTTGACAAGGACAGGACGAATGCACAAAATATGTCCTCTGCCACTGGTCTAATCTGCCGCACATGCCCCCGGGGAGGCTGCGGCTGCAGGAGCACCTTCTCTGTGTGACCTGCCCAGTGTCCGCGTCCTCATCCTTGGGCTGCATGCAGCCCCTCCACCAAGCCACTCCCTTGGAAAGCCCCCTGTCCTTCGAGTTCCATCTCTCCACGCCAATGTCAAGGGTGGTCTCATGGCCCAGGCCTGACCAATCAGCTTATCCCATCCCATCGCAGGCCACCCCGACTGGTCCAAGGACACACATGTGACCCAAGCTGGTCCAATGAAAGTCAGCCCCAGAACTTTGGTTGAAGGATTCAGAAAGTGAAGCTCCCCTTGTAGGGAGGTTAGTAACTATAAGGTTGACGGCATCCCCAGAGCCTGCAGCCACAGACGCTGGGCCAGCCTGAGAGAAGGGGCAACGCGGGAGAGATCAGAAGACAGAGAGGCAGGGACAGAAATCCAATACCATCATCACGCAACACCCTGTTGAAGGATGAACCGGGAAACTCAGACCAGTTTTGATATGGCTGCAGCCACTTCAGGATAGGGTTGCACTGCGTGTAGCTGAAAAAGCCCCCTCTCCTCGCCCCCAGAAGCCGTTGGCCCAAAGCCCCATAGGAGCCCTTCTCTCCCCTCTCACGAGGCACTCCCCACCTGCCTCCCCTTCTCTCCAGCTCCCAGCCTGGCTCCAGGCCCTTGTGGGTGGTCTGCAGCTAACAGTCTCCTACGAGTTCTCCACTCAAGTCCGGTCCAGCAGCTCACCCCCAAGCCACCCTCCACGTTGTCAGGGAAGTTGATCTTTCTGAAGAAGACGATGTGGAACACAGCCACATTCCTGCTCAATGCCTCTGTGGGCTCCGGCTACCCGCAGCCATTCCCTAAAGGATGGGGTGCATGTCCCTGCGGCTAAGGGGGCTGACCGCAGATGGCACGTGGACTCCGCACTCTAACACGCTGAGACTCAACGCAAGAAACTTCGGCCCCTTTTGGTTTTCTTACAAGCCTTCTGACTTCTTTATAGAGAAAAATCTCCATGTGGTCCCTCCTTAAGCTCTGACATCTTTCTACCACTTGCTCTGACATCTTTCTACCACTTGCTCCTCTCCCTTTATTTTTTAAATTTATTTATTTTTAAAGTTTACTTATTTTGAAAGAGGCAGCGTGAGCGTGGGGGGTGGGATAAAGAGAGAGAGGGAGACAGAGAATCCCAAGCAGATCCTGCGCTGACAGCACAGAACCCAAAGTGGGGGCTCAAACCTCACAAAGCTGTGAGATCATGAGCTGAGCCAAAACCAAGAGTCGGATGCTTAACGGACCGAGCCACCACCCAGGCGCCCCCACATCCCTTTTTAACAAAAGAAGGGAAAGCCTTGAGCTCGGAACCTTCCACAACAAGCTAGAACTTTGAAACACTGTTTTGTGTTGATTGCATTTATTTTTATGGTCACCCTCTATTTATGCCAATGATACTGGGTTTTCATTGACTCATTTCAGTAGTTATATAAAGATTTTTTTGGAAATTAATTAGTATACACAAAATGATGAGTCTATTTAAAGAAAAGCTAAGGCAGGGCACCTGGGTGGCTCAGTCGGTTAAGCGTCGGACTTTGGCTCAGGTCATGATCTCACGGTTTGTGGGTTTAAGCCCCACGTCGGGCTCTATGTGGACAGCTAGCTCAGAGCCTGGATCCTGTTTCAGATTCTGTGTCTCCCTCTCTCTCTGCCCCTCCCCTGCTTGTACTCTGTCTCTCTCTTTCTCTCTCTGTCTCAAGAATAAATGAACATTAAAAAAATAAAGAAAAACTAAGGCAAATAATAGGACATATTTGGATATGCTGAATGATGTTTGGCAAACAACGATTCACAGGATGAAATGTGATCTCCTCAGCGAGGCACACGAGGCCCTTCACCGTCTGCCCTTGACCACTCTCTCCAGCCCACTGAAGGGCTTGTGACTTCCACGACTGAGTCTCACAAAGTCTTACCTCCAACGCTCTGCCCACGCTGTTCCTTCTATCTGATGTCCTTTCCCCACACCTTCCTTATCAACCTAGAACAACTCTACCTGTGCCTTAAGACTCAGGTCAACGTTGCCATCTATTGTGGCCCAACCACTCAAAGATTTCGATGTGACCTGTGCTCTCTCAGGCTGCTTTTGTGAACTGCTGACACTAAGGCCTTTCCTTTGCGGCTGAGAGATCCCAGGAGACCAGAATGGTCTTTCACCTCTGTGTCTGGCACAGAGGCTCAGTTAGCACAGAGCAGATGGAAAGGACCCCCACTGGGGGACGTGGGCCTATCAGATACAAGCACAGGCTTGCATAGGAGATGGCATAGGCCCGTGGCCCAAAAAGTGGAAGAGGAGGGCTTCCAAAGGAAGGAAGGGGGAAGGAAGTGATCTCTGGAAGCAGGTCCCTGAGGCTGGGCTCCACCCAGTATGGCCCAGGGCTTCCCTCGGGAGAGAGAAGGAGGTGAGCATCCCAGGCTACAGAGTCCTTCAGAGGCCTGAGCAGAGAGCCTGGGAGGCCAAGATTCTCGACTTCAACGTGTACTTGGATGATCTCCGAACTTGTTACAATGCCAATTCCTAAGCGGCTTTGAAGTGGATCCTGAGCTACACTTTAAAAGGAAAGCTTCAGGTGACACTGAGGGCCACACTCTGAGAAGCACCGGGCCACAGGTGTCGCATAAGAATGGAGACAGGTATGGGCGTAGCAGACAAAACACGGGAGTGCATCTGAACTGCAAGGACCCCACAGAACATTGCATCACTGTCCGGACTCCGAGAGCGTGAAGGCACCGTCTACCAGAGAATAAGTGTACTCAATGTTATTTAAAATATGCCCCAAATAATCAAGTGGAGATGCGCTCAGTGAGGTAGACCCACACGCGATCACAGGTGGCCTAGAAGACGAACGATCCACCCAAGATAAAGAATCTCCTCTGCTCAGTGACCTTTTCAACCAGCAACTGTAAGCAGCAAACTTAACCCCTGTGAGTCAGGATGAGGCCATTTCTGGCTAAAGAAAACCCCTCCTTTGTTTGAATGACCAGGCAATCAAATTGCTCATAGATGAAATCAAGGCCAACCGGGGAAGGGGAGGTTTCTAGCAGAACTCGCTGCAAATGGCTGTCAGGCATCTGTGTCCGTCCACTCCCAGAGCCTCCACTTGGGTTCCTAACCAATCGCCTCCTTAAGCGCGAATTAAAATAGAAACATGAAAGCGTGTGCATGGGGAGGGATTTAAGACCAGCCCAATGGCTGCACCCCTTTCAAGCTCTGGCCTTCAGAACAATCCCGGCCGAGTCACTCATCAAATGGAGATTGACTTTTATCTGATTAACTGATGGGGAGACGTCCTCCTCCATCTCCCAGGAACATTCTGTGGGAAAGGCGTTCTGCAGACTGCAGGGAAAAGTTGGGCCTTGGCTTCCCTCCTGCTCGGCCAGTGGAAAATTACCAAGGAAGCAAGGCTGCCCGCTGCTCTGCTCCCGTGGCCTTCCTGGGCCCAGAAAACACAAAGAGAACCCCAGAAACGAGCCTCCACTTACCTGGGACGGAGACGAGTCTGGGAGGCGGTGGGGGCGGGGGCGGGGGAGGCAGCAAGGGAGGGGGCCGGCACTGGCAGATGTGTTGACAGCTGTCAATCACCTTCGAGCAGGACTTCTGCGGCTCACCGTGCGTCACCTGCAGAAATGGGCACACACGCCCACGAGAAGACAATGAGGCTACCCAGAGCAGAAAAGGGCCCACGCCACTCGCTCCCAGCCAGGTCCTCCCCGAGGACCACCACGGAGAAGGAAGAACAAAGGCATGAGATTGGCTCAAAGCGAACGATGTTTCGGGAGGCCTGCCTGGCACATGTAGAGACCAAGGTTCTATTCCCAGCTCTGCCAGGGACCAGCTGAGACCGTGACAAGTAGCTTGGATAGTAATGAGAGGTCGACAAGAATTTGACGGTTAGCTCTCAGCACTTCCCTACCGCACAAATGAGGAAACTGAGGCCCAGGCAGGAGAAGTGGCTGCCCAAGGTTCCCACAGCCACGTGGGGACAGGGTACTGATTGTACCTCCTCAGTCACCCGAGCCAGCCACTCCTCCACTCTCCCGGAGCCTTCAGCTTCTCTGTCCACAGATCCTGACAATCTGTCTGTGTCCACTCAGGCCAAGGTGCCCCCATCTGGAGGAAGGAACCCTACCCTGTCAGGCCGTGTGAGCAAGAGAGCCGAGAGGCCTTGTGGGAACCATGCCGGACCAAACGGTCCACACCCTCCCAACAATCCCAGAGGGCTTGTCCACGGCTCAGGAGATCACGCGCCACAGGGCCCTGCTCAGGAGGCCCCGACAACGTTTCCAATCCCACCCCACCCCGTGCTCTCAGCTTCCACTCTGCCCTCAACGCCCTTCTTCTAGGCCCTGGACCCTGGCCAGGCACTGCCCCCCACCCCTGCCACCTTGGAGATGCTGCTCCAGTGTTCAGGAATGTTCTCCCACACCTTTCTCTTGCTTTGTCCATTACTCAGCATGGTTCTCACCTCCTCAGGAAAGCATCTCTGACCAGGTCAGCTCTCTTTCTATAGGCTCTCCTGGCACCAGGTTCCGCTCTGGGGGGCAAAAGTCTACACTTAGGTGATTGCCTGGTTCCCACCTGTTGTCACCACTGGACTGTGAGCTCTATGGGGGGAAGGGCCGGGACTTGTATTTTCTCCTACTAAGGGAACGCCTGGCATTCAGTAAGTACTTGGTGGATGGATGGATGGATGGATGGATGGATGGATGAGTATTAAAAACTGGACCAGAATCCATAGCTTTTTGACTCCTGGTCTGTATTGTTTCGACACCAGCCTTCCTGACCTCACCTGTAAACAAGGACGGGGACTGTGCTTGGCCAGTAGTTCCCAGCTCTGACTGCACATTAGAACCTCCCAGGCAACTTAAAAAAAAAAAAAAAACGCATCCCTGAGCCTTTCCCAAAACCAATTAAATCAAAATTTCTGCAGGTGGAGTTGGCACGAGTGTGTTGTTTAATTTCCCCAGGCTGGACTTCGACTGTACAGTCTGCGTGTTTAGACCGCAGGTTTAGACAAACCGCCAGCATCTCTCCCTGCGGCAGGTGCCCGAATCCGCGAGCCTCGGGCCCTGTGCCTGTCCCACGGAACAAGCGGATTTAAAGGCATGAAGGAAGGAGTGGGTGGTCACCCTCGCCTCAGTGAAGCCCACAGAAGCTTCTCTGGCTGTCATCTCAGGGGAGTAGAAACCCAAAACCCCGTTTCCCTGCGACCAGCCCCCAGCGGCCGGCCGTGGGGAAAAGCATTTTGCAGACGCAGCCCCCTCCTCTGTGCATGTCCCCAGCCCGGCAGAGAGAGCCCACTGGGCTCCGACGCTATCTTCACATTTGGAGTCCCTGAACAAGCTGGGCACTGGGGCATTGCAGCTGGAGGTGGATTGATTTGCAGCCCTAACTTATTATCTACAAGGCCAAGAAGCTGGTGCTCGCCATCTTTTCGTGCTTTCAGAGAGCCGCGGAGTGAGTCTCAAACCCCAAAGGCAATCTCATCTCTTACTGGGAAGGGCAGATCCTCAGATGGTGGGCCTCTCCTAGTCAGTTCACGGAGATGCCTAACTCCTAGCGCAGCAGCGGCAAGCACACCAGTTTCACCAGAGCGCCCGTCAGCTCTCTTGTGGCCACCGAGCTGCCCTCCTCTTGATTCTGACCTTCTAAGACCTTCTAAGACCATGGGGGTTGCTTGAAGGCTCCGTTCTGCCAATGCTGGCCTCCGAGGGTGTTTCTGTGCCGGACTCTACCGGTGTGCAAACGTCAAGGAACACCACTGCCAAAGCAATTACCCTCCTGCTCTCCAAGGGGCAATTGATGCAAGAGTTCAAGAGGAGCACGTCTGCTTAACCCAGCCCAACACGATGACCCATTTTTTGGGAGAGGATGTAAGGGCACAGATGTATAAGAGAGCTTAATGTGATGAAATTATCGGTGGGGAAGCCAGGGCCAAGTTTCAAGGCTGAAGGGGGAGGGAACAAAGGAGCATACGGCACGTAAAAAAAAAAAAAAAATCTATGCTTCCTGGGTGTCTCACTGTCTGGCCTTCGCCCTGAGGGGTGGACCCCACTTGGGGCGCCTCACTGGAGTTTGGTCCAGCACAAGCCTGTGGCTACTGAGCTTCTCTTGACTGACAGCTGGTTACTCAGACCTTTGTCCCACGCCCCCCCCCCCCATAAAATTAGATCCATCTGCCCAGGGTAGCTTCTTCACCTTGTAAACCCTTCTCTCTGGGGGACTTTCCTCAATGTCCGGTAATGTCTGCTGCCCACACTGGGCCGTGAGCATCGTGGGGGCAGGCAGGTGGTGGGTGGGTGGGTCGGTGCTTTCTTAGTCCTGACCAGGTAGGGCTTCCTCATTTCACGCTCATGAGGATAACTGAGAGGGGCCAGCATTGTCATCTGTGCTTATGGCGGGGTAGGGACGACAGCCCCAGCAGGGCTAAGTCATGCACTAAGATTTCACAGGGCCCTGCATTCAGTTGGTGCACAATGAAAAGATGCGTTGGGGGATGGTCTGCCCACCAATGGAGAAACACAAGATCTCTTCTGTTCCCCAACTCTGGGTTCCCTTGGGGGCTCTGCAGATTGTCGCGGTTGTGTTCAGACCAGTAGAGAAGAAAGCTCAGCACTGGGGACTTGTCTCAACACCTGGCTTGCTTGCTCTGTATCCTGGGGAGTCCCACGAGGAAAAGAAACTTACCCCCGAGGTCACCCGCCCTTGGCTGGACTTGACTAAAAGGCGGCAGAGGCCCAGGGAGGTCAACGACCTGCCTAAAGCCCATACAACAGAAGCTGGCATCACTGCTTCCTGTGACCACTTCGGGTCCCATGTTGCTGTCCCCGGCTCTGCCTGGGGCCAGTATCTTGTCAGTGCCACTGTCGTGGACAGCGGGCTGAGGCACAGGCAATCCTGCGTCACCTGGATTTTGCAACCGCCACTGTGGTCTGGGGGCCGAGGTGCTCTGTGGCTGCTTCTCCCCGCTCACCCTCGGCCAATCAGTGCCGCTTTTTGGTTCGATGGATGTTACCTCCTGAACAGCTCTTACAACCGCCCTAAGCCAGGACACCATCACGCCTTCACGGGGCAGCACCCGCCTCTAACCAAGGACAGTGAGATACAATATAGGACACCTAGTGAAATTTTCGATAACTAGCAACGTTTAGTAGCAGTATATCCCAAATGCTGTCCAGGATATACTTACACTAAAGCAGGAGCCATTGTTTATTTGAAGTTCAAATTTGACTAGCAATTTTACCTGCTAAATCTGGCACCTGCTCCCCTTCCCAGCCTCCTTGCCCCTTGCCTCACCCCCACCTCTCCAAACCTATCTTTTCAATGGGGCTTGGCCAAGATATCTGAAATGCCAGTTTGAGATTGTGCCATTTCTTGCTGAAAACCTTCGACGGCTCCCATGGCCCTCAGGATCAAGTCCAAGCTGTAACACACTATGTTAGTGGCTTATGACAGTGGCCTTACCTGGGACGTCCCTCCCCAAGGTCCTTCCGGTGCCCTATTCTCCCCTCTGGCCTCAGGGTTATGCCCTCTGCCTACAGGCTTCCTTCACGTGGCATACCGCTCCCGTCCTGCCCTCGTTCATGCCTCAGCTGAAGCCCTCCACCTGCGAGGCTTCTCTGACCCTTCCACCGGGTCTCATCGCCAAGCGGTCTGCTCCCGCTGAGTTCTCTTACCTACCGTTACTTAATTACCCCCCCAGTGCCAGACTGTCAGTGCCATGAGAGCAGGGACCACCCCTGCACTTCACAAAGGGCCCGGCAAACAGTAGGTGCCCAATACATGCTACTGACGAAATGAGCTCAGCCTTGCTGGTGGCTCCTCTTCAGCACCCAGAGACCGATTGGCCCGGATCAGAGCCTGTCTCCCTAGAGGACACCCACGAAGATGATGGCTTCTGGAATCTTTTATGGAGACAGGCCAGCACCACAGTAACTTGATGAGACACACTCCTGTCACACCTAATAAATTTGCCAGCCTGTCATCCTCTTTGCTTGCAAAAAAAAAAAAAAGAAAGAAAGAAAGAAAAAAAGGAATCATCTGGAAGTGAACTTAGAAGAACCCTACATCACAAAAGCTCAGAATCGCAATTCCAGACACATTAAAGAAGAAAGGGGAAAGGCTGGGGAATGCCCCCACCAACCTTGTGGCAATTTAAATGTCATCTGACTTGAATGATTAAGTTTCTTATCATCTGGGCAGCAGCCAGAGGCGTCAGGCACATTGCAAGGTGGGAACCTGGTGCTTTGAGGGGACCACAGGTCCCTTGCTTCACCAATTACCCTATTAATTATAGCACTTTGATATGTCAGTCTCCCTCTCGCAAATGTTTATAACTTTGAGGGATTCTTCTGGCAAAATGCTCATGAAAACACAGGTAGCTCTGAGTTCATTCTCTATATTCAAGGAACTCCTATGATGTAACAGATTTTCAATCTCTCCACTTAAAGGAAAATTCATGGCTTTGTGCACTTTGTATTTTTCTCTTCCCCTCTTCATTCCTGTGATTTCAGCTCTTTCGCTTAACAACCAGATCCATCCATTCCAAAGCCCCTCTTCCCCTGGCTTCTTGGTCCTTATCATTTGCAGATTAATTTTTCCAGAGCCTCCTGCCAAGATTTTACCCATTTTACTTGTCTGGAGGGCTCCTTTTCTAATTGATTTTCACAAAAATTGATTTGTATTGAGTAACAGCATCTGAAACAAGGGCGCGCGCGCGCGCACACACACACACACACACACACACACACACACACACACACAAGCGCGCTTGGGTAAGTACTGCCTGGCTGAAGGACATGGTGAAAAAAAAAACTGAGCTGCTTTCACAAAATTATTTCTTTTGGTGGTGATGGTGGGGAGGTAGTGGGTCCCTGCTTTAGTCCTGCTAGTCGACACCACAGAATTCCAGTCTCGGAGACCAACAACATCATCAGTTGTCTATACCCACCAGGTGAAAAAAGTGTTCGGGAAAACCGTAAACAAATGACTATAAAAACACAGTGCACTTAACGTCGGAAGTTCAACTCAAAGTTGAACGAGGGAATCTGGTCCCAAACCGCCCGAGTGCTTAGAAGTGACAAAACCCTGAATCCTGAGGCGGCACAGCTGAGTTTAATAACTGCTGTTTCACACATTAAGCAAAGCTGTCAATTCCAAAAGGAAAACAATTGTGAGGGAGACAGAGGCAAGCCAGAGACGAGAGCAGAAGATGAGCCTGGTGCTGGGGGCTGGGGGGCGGGGGTAGACTCTGGCTGACCCAGCCGCTCACGCAGCACGCTCCTTCCAGCACGAGAGCCCCTGGTGCTCCCCAATAATCACCCAGGCGGCCATCTGAGCAGGATGGACAGCTGGCTCCGATCCGAGGGCGGCCCCATCACTTGGGACAGCTCGCGGACCATCAGACTGGCAAGTGGTCTCACCCTATCCTGTTTTCTTTGTTTTATCGCCCCCTACTGAGGGCAACCCTCTGAACGATCCCCAACCCCCAAAATGCTACCAGAAGAACACGAAGACCCAAAGACTCCTGAGTTGGGTATTTCAATGCTCAATGACAATAAAATTGCCCCCCAGTGTCTGCCGCACCACTGAAAATTCAAAAATGTCCAACAGACTCTGTCTCGATCAACAGAGTACCTGGCCGTCCAGAGAGAAGAGCAGCATTACTGTTACTAGTATCAATAGTGGCAGCAACAGCTAGCATTTAGTGCTAATTATGGTCCAGGCACTGCGTTAAGCAATCTTTACTTGCTTGATCTATCAAATTCTTGTATTAGCACAGTGAGGAACAAGAAACTATGGTCCTGAGAGGCACTGCCTGAAGTCCTGAGCCGGTGAGGGGCAGAGCGGGGGCTCCAAATTCAGAGCTGATATCAAAATCCACCTCACCACTCCAGGGTACCACTGACCGTGGGCATTCTGGGAGGTTCTAGGGGCCATGCCATCTAACCCTCTCCCTGACCCTAACAGACGCGATTCCAGCTGGTGGCCCCCTGGCTTCTGCCCTGGGGTCTAGGGGGTCCAGGGTGAGGACTCCAGCCCCAGGCAATCCTTACAAACAGACACTTCCTTCTTCCATCCCCGCCAGTGGCCACGACGCACAATCCCGGCGCCTCCCCCAACTCCACTACCTACAAGGGGCACAGCCTCTGCTGTGTCAAGTCCAGTTGAAGACTAAGAGGAAGTTTACTAGTGAATCTGGTGGGAAATAAAGAATGTATATTCTTGGGATCATTTTCTTTTTAAGTTTGTAAACACTATAAGGTTACTTTTCCCGCATTTCCGCATCAGAATGTGATCATCAAGAAGGCGCTCCCAAGCCCTTTCTGTTCCCAGGCCCTGTCCCGCAGGCCTCCGCAGGCCAGGACTGAGGCCTCCTCCGAGTTTTTCCCGATCTTTTCACCTCAAGAGTATAGAGGGGTAGGGAGCGTGGGAGGGCTTGCACCTCTCCTCTTCCTAAACTCTCCCCAGCGGCAACCAGAGGGGCGCTTGCAGGAAGCCAGGGTCGTGGGAGGGCAGTGCCACCCACCCCTCCCCCAAATCGGTCCTGCCCGGATCTTGCCCGCGTAGCCCGCACCCCCCTGCCGCCGCTCACCTGCACGAAGCCCCAGAGCGGGTGGAGCGCGCAGTGCAGCAGCAGAGAAGGCCAGCAGCAGCCCCGGCGCAGCACCAAGTCCCGGAGGAGCATCTCGACCGGCGGCACCCGCGCGCTCTCGGGGCGAACTGTTAGGGGAGCAAAGCCCTGGTCAGGCGGGCGCCGCGCGGGCACCATCGCCAGCGCGCACCCGCACACGTAGCAGTCCGGTCGGGCGGGCACGCCCCGCACCCTGGGGCACCCTCATAAACCAAGACCTCCCCAATCACTCCAGCTTGCACATTTGCTGACCCTTCGTGCACGCTCAACAGAAGCCGGCATCCCAGAACACTCTGGTGCACACGCCCCCAGAACCTTATGTGTATGCCTTGGCCCCGTGCACACCCCCGGAATCCTGCGTGCACACTTTGGCTCCATGCACACCTCCAGAAACAGCCAAGCACACTTAACCTAGCCCAGTGCATCTCCCAGAAACCTCCCCAGCCATGCACAACTCACTCCCACTGTGAGCACACTTCAAACCCGGCGGGCACCACTCACCCTGCCTGCACACCCACAGAAACGGCTGTGCACACCCACCGACTCCTGCCTACACACTCGCTGACCCTGCATGCGCACACAGCACCGGGAAATCACACGCTGCGTGCACCCTCTCTGCCCCGCCGGCCCTCACTGCGCACACTGCAACATCGGCACCTTCGTGCGCACCCCATTCGCCCTCGCGCGCTCTCCCCAGCCCGGGCCTCCCGCTTCAGGGCGTGAGCCTCCCTCTGGCCTTCCTCTCCGCCCGCACCCCTCCAGCGCCTCACGCCACCTTGCCTGGGGGCGGCCCCAGCCGATCCTCCGCGCGGGGAAGGGAGGTCCGCGCTACCCCCGCGGCAGACTGTCCCCGAGCCGCCGGACGGCCCCCATTTAAAGCCAGCCGCCTCCCCGGTCCCCCCGCCCTCTAGGCGGGGCCTCGGTCCTCACCCTGGCGACTGCGCGGGCGCCTGGGGGCTTCACATGCCGGGGAGGAGCGCCGGGCACTGGAGCAAAAGTTTGCGCGCGGCTGGGGCCTCGCGGGCTGCCGGGCGGGGGGCCGGGCGCGGCGCGCCCGCACGGGGCGCAGGGCGCGGCGGCTCCGGGCTCCTCCCGGGCGCGCGCGGGTCGGGAGGGGCGGAACCCCGCGCCCGGGGCCGGGGCCGGCCTGCCGAGGCGGAGGGGAGGGCGGAGAAAGTCTCCTCCGAGCCTCCGGGAGCGGGCGGCGCGAGCCTCCCCGGATCCCCGCCCTTGGCGGTGGCGCCGCGCGGCTGCCCGGGGCGCGGGGGTGCCCGAGCTCTCCTCGCCCGTCACGCCGGCCCGCGGGAGGCGCTGCCCGGGAGCTCCCGCTCGGGCAGCAGGGCCGCGGGCGGAGGCGAAATCAATAATGCACGAAAAAGGAAAACAGACGTGAGCCTCGCCAGAGCGTCGCCCGCCTCCCGCCCGGAGCTGCGCTCCCGCCCGCGCTCCCCGCCGTCGCCGCCAGCGCCGCTGCAGTGATTCCTCGTCTCCATCTAGCGAGGCTATTGTGTATTGGGAGCGTAATCATTTATTTATTCACCCGCGAGGAAGAGGACTCCCAGCCCCGGGGGTCTTGCTCCACCGCCCGCCCTCCACCCCGACTTTCTCCGAGGCGGCGGGAAGACCCCTTCCCGCGCTCGGTCCTCGCCGACTGCGTCCCCTCCCCCTCCGCATTCGGAAGGGCAGGCTCCCCCGGGTGTCGGGGTTCGAAGGGGGCAAACCCCGCCTCCCGGGGCCAAGGGCCCTGTTGTCCCTCCTGTAATCTCGGCGCGGGGACCTCTCAGTTGCCTGCGGCCCTGGCAGGACCCCTCCACCCTCCACCACTGCTCTTCCCCCACCGCCTCCAACTCGCAACATTATCAACAAGTCGGTCGCGAAGTAGCCGGTCACGGTTCATTCAAACCCGCGGCCCCTGGCCTCCCAGACCGCGCCGCAGGTATGCGCAGCCGCGCTGTTCACATCGGGTGTAAGCGCTGGGGAAGCGCTTTGATGGAGGGCCTTCCAGAAGATCCCTAAAGCATGGACAGTCCTATTTTTAGGTTGGGCGAAGGAGGGAATCGGCGGCTCAGGACTGAGAGTGGCGAGTCAGACACTGTCGTTTATTCACTGAAGAAACATTTACTTGGTTCCTTTGCACAGCGTCTGTGGGCACCCTAAGTCACCCCATATAGGCACACACTCCAAGTGTAAACTGCGCCGATGACCAGTTTCCCGGCCGGTTTCCTGGGGACCTCTCTCATGCAGAGTGCTGCCCCAAGACTATTGTCCATGTAAACTCTTGAGAGCCACATGTGAGCGAGGGAGACGCTGGGGGTGGGGGTGGGGTGGGGGAGGGGAGATGTGAATGTGACTCTGTGCCTTCCCCAAGACCCCGGGGTCTGGAATGGGGGATCGATAATGAAATTAGCCATGCTGCCCTCTGGCTGTGGTGCAAGGAAGGGGTGTGCGGTAAGCAGGCGAGAGAGGATTGTAGACAAGGGAGAGGGCGGCCGGCTTCCAGATTAAAATGGCCTCTGGAAGTGGGGGAGTATTTCACGTGTTGGGAAGCCCTGGGCAAAGAGGTGGAGATACTCGTTCATTCACTCATTTATTCACTCACTCATTCATTCCTTACATGGTGTCGGTGGGCGCCTACTAAGGGCCAGATGGAGCATTTGAGGAGGGGTATACAGCATGGCAGGAATGAGATATTGGTGCTGCCCTGTAGGGAGGAGGGATGGTAAGAAAATATTGGGAGAAAGGGCTTCCCAGGTGACTTTCTCTCACCAGTTAGAGCCGGAGGATGAGTCACAAAACTGAGCCACTATTCATCAGCTGAGGTCAAGATAACATTGATTATGTTAATGCCTTTCTACTTAAGCCAGTCAGGGTATTTTGTTCAGTTCGGGATTTCAGTCTTAGATGTGACAGCAACCTGTCATGTTTATACGCGGAGCTCTTTACCGCCTAAAAAATGTGCTTCGCGTCACATTTTAATGCCATTCTCCCGGCTCTTGGAGGCAAAGGTTATTGCTCCATTCGACAAGTTCAGAGACACGAGGAGCTGGCCCAGGATCACACAGCTGCTCACCTGGGTTTCAGAAGTACTGACCCCCAGGCAGTCGTTTTGTTCTTTGGAAGGACCCGGGCTGGTTTTATATATCGGAAGGCCTGCATTATACATTCTGGTGTTCGGCACTCCCGTGCGGGACCCACTCTGTGTCTGGAGTGTTGCCTGGCCCCAGAGCCCCTTGGCCAACACTGTGGAACATCCCAGCCTTATGGTGAAGACCAATCTCGAGCCTGGGCCCCCTAGACCCATAGCAGGGCTGAGGGAGGCTCTGGTTTCCTTCACCCTTTCTGGGCTCCAATGGCAACCACACACCACAGGCCCTGGGATCTGCCTCCAGGGGGCTGGGTAATGACTCAGAAATGCAGGGCAAATATTGACCACTGAAAGACCAAAGGAAAGACCCGGTGCATGGACTGGAGTGGTCTCAGTGGGGCTGTCAGGAGATTTTAGGAGGCATGACTGAGCAACTGGCAGTGGATTCTTCTAGAGCCTTGGCCAGCTCCGTAGCACACAGCCTCGTCTTCCCTTGCTTGCTCCACTCCCCCTCCCCCCTCCCCCCTCCCCCGTTATGTTTGTTGCCTGAGGGTCGTACCCCTCAATAAAGGATTAGCAGGCAAGCATTGCTTCGTGCTCTGCCTCCCCAGGAACTACACACAATAGGTACCACAAGTGACCCTAGAAAGGAGACCTTCAGGACCGGATGTTGGAGCTGGACTGGGCTCTGCCTGAAAGCACCAAGAGCCCCGCTACGGATGGTAAGCAGGGTCGTATAGGGCATATAGCGACACTACAATTTCTAAAGCTTCTCTCGCGGCCACTTGGAATGAGATGCAGGTAGAAGGCGAGGCTTTGGAAGGTCATGAGGCTGCTGCGTGTGATCGATGTGAGGGAAATGATAATCATAAGGATTGTGCAGTTAGATGGCTTCTGACAGCACAGGAGATTTTCCAGAAAGACAATGATAGGCTCGGGGAAGCCATTTGCCAACTTATGACATGCTTGTGAACGCTTTAAGGTCCCTCTTCTCGCTCGACATCCACAAGACCGACTGTGCCGAAGACCAGGCTCGGGGATTGGTGTGTGTTGTGGCAGAGCTGAAAAGGGGACTGAGCATGTCACTGCACAGGTGTCCCATGTCCAAGTCTGGGCTCTGAGGGGGAAAGAGTTGGACCTTGGGATCTGGAATAGAGACATTTGGGTGACAGGCCCTGAGAATCTTGGACCCCCCAAATCTCCCTAAATCTGCCCGCTGGTGGAAGCACCTCTTTCTCCCTTTGTAAGAAAAAAACCCAACTCCTCTTAGCCTGGTAACCAAGCAATGACCTAAGGGCAGCAGGTACCTTGCAAGGGGAGCTTGTTCTCATGACAATAGCCTGTAGGAAACAAGGTGAGATGCCAGGACTTTGTTGGCACAATGTTGAAAAAAAACAACAGAAGGCCCAGAGAGCCACGAATACTAGAATCCTAAGACCTGACCATCTACCCCTTGGCTAAGTTTCCTAGGATGGCCCTTAGGGCGTTCCCTTCATGGAGCCCTAAAGAAATCCAGCTGGGAGACAGGATGTCGGAATCGGGGAAGCACCAGCATCTTGGAGAAGTTCAGTGGTGTCAATCCTCCAAAGGCCAGGTTCAATAACAGGGAAATGGTGGTGGGGCTGACTCCTTGGCATCAAAGGCCAGCCTGCCTACTAGGTCATGAGAGGCAAAAGGGATGTAATTAGTACATGGAAAGCAAAGCCGGAGCGGCAGTCAGGGTGCCTTGAGCTGTAGGTGTCTATGTCAATGGCTCGAAGATCATGTTGTCACTAGGGATGAGATCGATGGAGAGTGGATGAGGTTATTGCTCAATCTGCATGAATTTTCTTTAAAATAATCAAGAACATTAGAGCAAAAAGATGACATCAGCTACTGCAATGGAAAATTCTCTTGAGTTATGTCACGGCGCAAAGCCCATCGATTGAAGGGGAGGCTGGGTTCCTTTGAAGGACGTGCAATGCCACCGAGTCCTAAGATCAGTCACGACCTGCAGCAATCTAACAAGTGATGGACATGGTAGACTCAGGCCAGGCTCTAAGAGGTCCAGAAGGAACAGTTAAATTACCTAAACAGATGACCCAGATTCTCCTCTCACCCCCCTCGGTTGAGGTTCTTCCTTAACTTGTACCTGGAATCTCAGAAGGGACTTTTGTATGATAGTCTGTCAGAGGAAGAAAGGACCGAGACCTTGTTTACACACAGGTCAACACAAAATGTTGGTGCTAGCTGGGAACACACTGTTGCATTACATCCCCCATGCAGAGGTGGAAGGAGAGGGGGCCTGAAGTGCAGACGTACACTGGCTCCTGTGTGCAGGCGTAAGTGTTTAGGAGCATGGTAAGAATAAGACTAGTCATCCAGGAGCACAGAAGTAGGAAAACTGTCGAGGCATGGCCTCATGCGTGATTCTGCCCCACACTAATACTCACCAGAGAACATCGTTGCCAAGGGAGCTCCCAGCAATTAGTTGGGCAGGATGCTCCAGGCTGTGGAGGTCACCCAGCCTCTCTCTCCAGCCAGCCTTGTGTTTCCCGAATGGTCTGCTGAAAGCACAGCCACAGCATCAGCTTGGAGATCAGCTGGGGTGTTGTGGCATTGTTCTCCTAGGAGTATGAGTTGATAGAAATGTCTCCAGCGGCACCTGGCTGGCTCCGTCAATTAAACTTGCAACTTTGGCTCAGGTCATGATCTCATAATTCGTGAGTTTGAGCCCCACATTGGTCTCTCTGCCATCAG